CTCCTCATTTGTATTTCTATCAAGTTGTTTCTTTGGGCTTTTGGACATAATAAGATAGACCATAAAGTATGCTGCTTTCTGTTCTCTCTCAACTACTGCTGATGCTTTTGTCAGTGACTGAGGAAGTCCAATTGTTGCTTGGCCATGATATACTCAAACCTGCCCCCTTTCCTTGCCTTAGAGCTTGTTGTCAGCTCTTAACCTCTAAGTGGACATGGAAAGGCTTTGATGAACTCTTAGTGGAAAGAAAGAGACTGAAAGAGAGGGAGGGACAGAGGGAAGGAGGGAGGGAGGGAAGGGGAGAGGTGGAGATGGGGAGAGGGGGAGAGAGACAGGGAGGGAGGGAGAGAGAGAGGCAATTGGCCCTGATAGTGTTTAATCTTCATGAAGGAAGGATGTTTGAAATCTCTCATTTTCAGAGTTGCAGAAAGACAGCCAATTCCTTCCTGATCAAAAGGTACTGAGACTGCTCCTGATTAGGCTGTCTCAATTCTCTCATTTTTACTCATCATAGTCACATCTGTTAGGATTTCTGTCTCTTTCCTGGAGATGCCTCTGGAGATCAAGTCCCCTCACTTTCTTACAGCTCATCTGAAGCCTGCCAAAAAGACTGGCAGACAATGATCAGCATTCTGTGCTCTGATAACTCACATACATCTCTGAAAACAATGGTAATACCTGGTTATCAAGTAAACCCATGAATAGTAGAGCCAAAGGATTTAAGCATTTTTCTTTGGAATCCAAGTGAGAATTTATGTTTTGGTGGGGTGGGAAAGGAACAGGCAAATGGGAAGTACTAGAAGAGGAAGATAAGGTGTTTGGAAGAGCAGGGGTGGACACAAAATAAACATAAGACTCCCAGATCAAAAAAGACTGTAAGGAGCTTCTCATCCAGGGATTTTCAAATATTTTGTTTACAGTAGTGGAACATTTAAATGTTTATGGTTCTAAGAAATCACACAATGAGCCTCTGTGCATAGAAGAGATGAAAACATAAGTGCTATGTTTAAAACATTGTCAGGGAAACTTATATCATGTCCATTTAGTTTCAGGAAGATGAAAATTAAAATTTGAAAGTAACAAATATTGTCTAGTATTCCCCCATTGGAAGACTAACATACCTCAAATCAGTTGTTAGTAAAGTTAATGGCAGATATAGGATAAAAACATATGCCTCCTCCCATCCAGGCTAGAACTCTTTAGGTATGGAAATGAAGAAAGGTGCAGAATGCATGCTCTTCTGAACATGATCAAGGAGTAAGCTTGATGACCATTGTAATGGGAGACAGGATGTCTGAGACAAACAACGGGGGAGAAGACCCACACAGCCTAGAAGAGTTGGAAGCACTAAGGTTAAGTAGAGAGCATTCAAACTCCATGAATCTGGAGGGAATCCAGAAATTCCATAGCATAACAGCTAAGAATAAAGCAAGTCAGTAGACAAGAGGTTTGAGAAGTAGGTATAAAAAGAGTTCTTTATTCTTCCTCCCACTACATGCCATTCTATTGGTCTGATATGGCAATAGAAGAGAAATAGAAGAAAAAATCTATTTTTTTCTAAAAGGGGGCATGGTGGGGCACAGCATTAATCCTAGCACTTAGGAGGCAGAGGCAGGCAGATATCTGTAAGTTTGATACTAGCTCGGTTCTACATAGTGAGTTCCACGGCAGCTGGTGCTACAGTGAGACCTTGTCCCCCCCCCCAAATGGTTTTGGGGCTGTAGAGATGGCTCAGTGGGTAAGAACATTGGTTATTCTTGCAGAAGCCCCGGGTTTGAATCCCAGCACCCACATGGAAGCTAACAACTGTCCATAATTCCAGTCCCAGGGAATCTGATGGCCTCTTCTGACCTCCGCAGGCATTGCATGACACGGGTCCACTTGCCTACATGCAGGCAATACACGCATACACATAAAAAATTTAAAAGAAATGGTTTTCTAGGATTAGCTGCGATTCTTTCATTTTGCCTTGCTGAGTTGGGGCATACTTTGGCACACTCAATCTACAAGAATTTGAAACTGCTACTCACAGTCTTTGAGTTGCTAAGCACCTGGAAAATAGACATGAATGGTAGAAAAGCAAGAAAAGTATCTGCTTTATGCATGGTTAAGCATATTGGATAACATGATTTAGATGGATGCACATTCAGGGTAGTCTTTCTTTTTTATGTGTATGTGTTTGTGTGTCTGTGAGTGTGCCGTGTATGTGTGTGTGTGTGTGTGTGTGTGTGTGTGTGTTGGGGGGTGCCTGCAGAGGCCAGAAGAGGGCATCGGATTCCCTGGAGTTACAGTTGCAAGTGGTTGTGAGCCACCTGGCCGCTGCTGAGAACCAAACTCAGGACCTATGCAAGAGCAGCGAGCACTCTTAAACACTAAGGCTTGTCTCCAACCCCAAGATGATCTTTGTGCCCTGGAATGAACTGACCCTCTAGTCACAGGCCTGTTAGTGGAAGACAGAGAACACATATGGTCTATGGCAGACAGAACATGGAAATTTAGAGATACCTTGTGCCAGAGTCTCATGAATATCATACCAGACACTTGCTTGTCCATGGAAATGGAAACTTTCAAGGAATATATCTTGTTTACTACATACTCTGCTTGTTGGGGAGCTACAAAAAGTAATGGGAACCAACAGATATAGGTTACAGTTACATGGCAGCAACAAGTTCTGGTGCTATTATTGTACAGTAGGATGAA